GCATTCCTGGAGGAGAGGGTAGGCCTGGATGGCCAGGCACTTGGCTCCTGGCGCAGACTGCAGTAGGCTGGGGCCAAAGGCAGATGTGTGTCATTAGCACATCTACAGTCTGAATCGCCTCTCCCTTGGCAGTAAGCTGGGGGTCTGACTGTGTTTTCAGCTCTTCCTCCTCCCTCGTTTCTTTCTACACTTCCTGTTCCCCAGGGAGAGGGGAGGGAGGGTATAGAACATGTTGAGTCTCCCTGCAGCACTGGTCTCCGGTGGAGGGCTGACAAGCAGCCATCTGAGCCAAGTCACAAGGTGCCCCAGGCTCCGACAACATTTTGGTGTTGTCTCGGGGCTTATTAGTGCCATTTAGGTGGGTGGCCAGCAGGGCAGGCTGGTCTGCTGTCACCTGGGAGGGCTCGTCAGGCTGCATGTAGGCTGTGACTGGGATCTCTCCTGGTGGACAGGATTGTTTCTTTCCCTGGACTCTGTGTGTTCTCCCCTCTGTGGTGGTCTGAGCCCAGCAGTAAGACACTGGGACAAGTGGAGTCAGGCATTAGTTTATAGCACCCTGCCCACTTCTTCCTAAAATGCCCCCTACTAACCCTTGCCCTTGGGGAGAGCCTCTTTGCCTGCAGCTGGGGACTACCTTTTGTATTTTTCCTATGCTCCTAAGCACATAGTGTGTTAGCAGTGACTGGGAGCAGTCATTGGGGTCAGGCCTTTTGGGGAAGGAAAAAAATCCCATCTTCAGAGGCGGCTGAGCTCTGAATGCTTGGCACTGTTAGGGCTGATCTCTAGCTTTCTCCTGCACATCCCTATGGGGTCAGGGTCACTTGGGCTGTTGGAGGCTGAAGTTGTTTCCGTGGCACTTGATGGCAGAAGCAAGGTAGTTTGTTCTGGCAGGGGGAACCTGGCCATACTGGGGTCCTGGCAGCTGCTTTTCAGGTCTGTGGTGTGGGAGGGGAGTTGTGGCCTCGCATGGCTCTATGAGGTCTCAGAGAGGGTGTATAAGGGCTGTGATGTGCAAAGTTTTCTGTGATTGCCTGTGGCTGCTGGCTGTGTGATGCTGGGAGGTAATGCCTTCTTGCAGAGCATGTGGCAGCTGCCCTGCTCTCCAGCCTAGTGCAAAGAAAAAGGTAGCCAAGGCTGGTGCTTCTGCCTGTCTGCAGCCTGTTGAGTGGCAACATCCACTGAGCCATTCTGATCAGTTCAAGTAAGTCTGGGTTGAACAGTGCCTTTGCCACAGGGATAGGAGCTCTGGGAGCTGAGCAGGATGGTCCTCTGAGCTGTGAGGGAGAGCAGAGCTGAGCAGGTAATGATGTGGTTGCTTTCCCCTTGCCGTACATAGCCTCCCTCTGTCCTTGAGGAGCTGCAGGAGAGTGGTCTGGGCTTGGGTGCCCTCTGGCCTATTGCCCTGTTGCAGGTGAGGTGTCTCTGATAGACTGGACTGGTGCTCTCCTGCTCTGCTGCCCTGCTGGCAGCACCAGAGCCAAGGAGGACAAAGCTGCTAGAACCCCTGAGGCCAGTCAAAGTGCACCTACAGCTGTGCAGTGGGATGGTAGTGCTGCTCAGTGGGAGGAGCACAGCCCATGGTCCCACCCTTTGCTTGGGAAGGGGAGCTGGTATAGTGATGATGCATAGAGTGAGAACATCAGCATGGACACAGGGCTGACCCTGGCACCCGGTGCTGATACTGGGCCTGCACAGCTGTGCGTGGTGTAGCAGGGATTGTGCCTCTCTTGGCATCTGCCTTCTTGCTGAAGGAAGAAGGGGGTGAGAGCCACACTTCTACTCCTGCTGTCTCTTGTTGATGTCGTGCGCTGTTAGTCCAGGAATAT